TTTGCTTGCTACTTTTGTTTTACGCTGACCGTTTTGCTCACATATTACAGTGATAATGTTTTCATAGTAAAATTATAAGTTGTTCATTTTCGCACAACTTTTACGTATTATCGTCGTCGTCTCTTTTGAAAATTATTTTGTTCGTGACACTTGGGCAACGTATGAATCTCAGTGCATTTCCTGCAATACCTGAGACGGGGTTTAACTTTTTTGACCATGCGAAAGCGTAACTTTCGAATGCTCAGCGTATGAAACGAGAAGATACTTGCTGATGTTTCTTTTACTGACGACTGTGGCCTTAGACGGCAGAATATTACAAGATTTTTGAATAAGAAATTGGACGAGGAATGTGACTTTCGTACCGTACGATTTCTGACATAAAATAGCGTTTTAAATCGTCAGATCTCACCAGTTTTCGCAGTTTTGCTTTCAAAAGACTGATATTGTTATTCAGAAAACTATTCTTGTGTTTGAGGCGGAAAATTTTAGATCATTGTGTTGCACCAATGCTATTTATGGTGTGAACCGCGGATCCTAAGCCTGAAAATCATTCATCAACTGCAGACTAACCTACGCAGCATGGAAAAAAGGTGTTGGGGTAACCAAAAAGACAGGAAGCGAACGAATGCACTGAAGTACAAAACGGAGCCTTCGATGCCGTTGCCTAAGTGGAGAAATTGAAATGGCAGTGCGCAGGAAACGTTACGAGAAGAACCCCCCAAGAATACAGACTGAATTTTAAGATAGAAAAACTGCCCGTAGTAATACCTTAAGATCGATGTCAGTAGGAGCTGAAGAAGTTCATTGAACCAGGATGGGTAGAAATCAGTGATAATATTAGTTTAGGTTCAAAGCCGTGGAGAGGCTTTCATACAACGGTAGATCAGAAAGATTAACGATATCGAGTGCTACACCGCTTCGGGTTCGTACTGTTTACTCTGGCAAAATTTTCACTATTCTTTCTTGAAGGAGGTAGTTCCTGCATTCATGGGGCGAAGCTACTACGCTGTGGATGTTAAAAGGTCCTCATCTTACCCCTTTTCACCATTCGTGATTCACAGCCGTAAGAATATTTTGCTAGGTGCTTGCCTGAACAGTAAGTTCCTAATTCTGCTGAATTTAATGCCCTACTGTTTTTGCGGTATCTTAATAGTATTACGCTGATAAACCTCTGTAACATTACGAAATTCAATGAAAACCTCAATTTATCATTAAGAAAGCCTCCCTCTCCCACCTGAGATTCTTTAGATAGATCGTCTGCTTTTATTAAGCTTTTAGCTGCTGCAGGACGGTTTCGCGGAATATATCCGTTCTCGTAAATGCCTAAAAAACATTTCAGCGGGTCACATCTCTAGTATATGCGTGCCGGCATCGTCAGATGCATTAAACATTATTTAACTGAATAGTTAATGGCTCGTCGCGAGTTGTGTTTTAGCGCTTGTTTCTCGTTATGTGCTTCCTCATAATTGTACATATAGTAATTAAATATATACAGGGGTATGATAATCTGTATTTGACTAATCTGATACTAGATCCGACGCAGATGGGTATGTTAGATGACCCGTAGACATTTGAATGTAATAGTTATTGAGCGGTTCTAACATGTAGCGAAATCCCATTAGAGGTTGAAGCTTTTTTTAGCATATCTTAGCGTGCGAAGTCTCATTTGCGACATCATCCAAAGACGCGTAAGCAAGACCGGCTCCTTCTGAATTGTTATTGGTGAAGAGGCAGATAAAACTGTTGCCAAAAATGTTGCTAGATGAACCTTACACTCAGTTGTTCAGATGCTGTGGAAGCTGGCTTGCTTATGTGACCCTGAAGGCAGCGCCAATCTTACGTAATTGGATTTTGAAAGGTAAAGTGCCTATTGGCGGCGTACTCTGGTGTAGGAACCGGTACTTGCGATACTATATTTTTACGCAGTAAAGTAAAGTAGCTTTTGCTGCATTTTTTCTCGTCCTATAGTTTCCCTTACAGGATTTTTTCAGTGCAGATCACGCAGTCTGATACTGTTTTCATGGTAAGTTCCGTGACACGTTTGTAAGAAAGTAATGACACTTATGGAGCACTTGCAATGCCTGTGGCTTCTAGGCATCGTTCTTGGGGTCGATGTTCTGAACTGCGCAAGGCACGGTTTCTTGCATTTCAGGTTTATCATGGAAAAGAGTGATG